ATAGGGCGCATGGCTCGCCAGACAGACAGACAGAAAGTGAGAAATCACCCCCCAGGGAGGATGGCCGTGCCACATTCCCTTCTCCTCCATTCTCCTCTCAGGATCTTGGGCACGCACACACTTGCGCCCGGCGTGAGTTTAAGCCACTGGGTCCGGGACTCGAACCGCGGTTGACTACGTGGGACTCCAGCGACATAGCCATTACGCTAACTGCTGGTCCCTCAAATATATTTTTGTGATAAATTCCCAACAGGAATCATTAAGGTTAAAAAAAGTTTAAAAATCAAAGTTGCAAGTTTACTTTTATAGTAAGATCTCTTTTAATTAAAATATTTTCTAAGCACTTAATATGATCCAACACTGTATTAGGTGCTAAGAAATACAAAAATAAATTACATACGATCTTTGCCCTTAAGAAGCTCAGTCAAGCACCTGCCATGGACATATCTAATAATGCCTGGGGACATTCTAAGTTGTCACAAAAAAAGGTGTGGCTGCTACTGGCATCCAGTAGAGGCCAGAGATGGTGATTAATATACTATAGTGCACAGAATACCCAGCAAAGGGAATTAGTCAATCTAAAATGTCGAGTGCTGAGTTTACAACTTATTGTCTCTGTACTTGCATCAAGAACCTGGCCCCACTGCTGCAGTTAAATCCTGTGTTTTGGGAGCCAAATCTCACACAGCTGATTGCAGTTCAAACCCTGGCCCCGGTGGATTGAAAAACATGCTGAGTATGAGAGCATGCATGCCTAAAATCCTGACAGGGTGGAAAAATGGAAAAAGGATTGTGGAATGACGATGCCCACCTGGAGGGTATTTTCTCTCTCTGGCCAGTACATATGCTTCTGGCAATAAAAATTTTTTTTATTAAGGTTAATGAGTGATGAGTTAACGATTCTCAATTCTTTTTTTGAGAGGTTTTTGCTACAGGGCGTGTACGATCGCAAGACAGACAAGAAAGTGAGAAATCACTCCCTGGGGGATGGCTAGGTCGCAATCTCTTCTCCTCCATTCTCCTCTTGGGATCTTGGGAACGCGCACACACAGGCGCCTGGTCTGAGTTTAAGCCACCGGTTCCGGGACTCAAACCGCGGTCATGGGAGTCCAGCGACAAAGCCATTACGCCAATTGCTGGTCCCAATAATTCTCAATTCTTACAACCAGTTAGAAACCTACAAAAATTATTTTACTTGTAAAATATGTTCCTAAAAGTGTTTTGTATTTCTTTCTTATGCAAAATAAAATCGACCAATTTAAGAGATTAAAAAAATGCTTCCTAGATCTGTTGGAAAGCCTCAGTATTTTTAAGCTCTTCAATTTTTCTGAAGCAACAAAAATTACCTTATCAAAAGTCAAAAGGCTTGCCTGATTCTGAGGCCATGATACTTTGGATAAGACAAAAAGTAAACATTTCAGAATCTTAGTAATTTGTCCCCTTTGGGAGGGATTTCTGTATGTCTATCCTACTCTTCACCACCTTTTCTAATCTGTATCAAAGAGGGAGAATGAACGGAGGAGGGACAATAGCCTTTTATTTTTAATTCATCATAAGGTAGATCTCTGTGAAAACATAAGAAATCTAGCACTTGGAGATAGCATCAATCTGTTTCTACTCAGTATTATTATTTCTTTTTCAAACTTAAGACGCAAAAGTACTGTAGTTTGGGCCAAATCACACTTAAAGATAAATCTTTTCCTTGGAGTGTATTTAATTATAAACCGATCTAATTTCTTTTCTTAATTAGAGTTTTTTGCCTTAGGGTGCCTGTGCTTACTGGAGAGAGACAGAGACAGTGAGAGAGAAAGTGAAAAATCACCCAAGGGGATGGCCATGCTGCAATTTCTTCTTACTACTCTCCCACTCCCACTCCAGGATCTTGGTCATGCACGCACATACACCCAGTGTAGTCCGAGACTCAAACCACAGTTTGCCATGTGGGAGTCCAGAAGCATAACCATTACTCCATTTGCTGGCTCCCCCATCTAATTTCTATATCCTGTCCTCTCCTTTCCCCTCACGTGAATCGCCTTCTCACAGAGGAAACCTACTTCTTTCTAAAGTCCAATCCACTACATCTGTAGAGCACTCACTCCTTGATTTTAAGTAGAAAAAGCTGGCATAACTCACCATTCTTTTTACCACTGTCAAGAGTTAGTAAAACCATGGGAACCAGCAGTTAGCATAATGGCTATGTCGCTGGACTCCCACGTAGTCGACCGCGGTTCGTGTCCCGGACCCAGTGGCTTAAAACTCACGCCGGGCGCGTGTGCATGCGTGCCCAAGATCCCGAGAAGAGAATGGAGGAGAGGGGACTGCGGCGTGACCATCCCCCCTGGGGGGTGATTTCTCGCTTTCTGTCTCTATGTCTCTCTCTGTCTGTCTGGCGAGCGCACGCGCCCTACAGTGAAAATCTCTCCAAAAAAAAAAGTTAGTAAAACCTAAACAGGATACATGAAGACACATCAGAATAACCTAGTGCGTCCCTGTTCTCGAACTGCCCATGTCTTCTATCAATGAAATTTAAAATGAATGTCAATAATGGCACTGCTTCATAAGAGAATATCTGGAGGGAAATCAGTATCTGCTGTATAATAGATGAATTAGGCACTTTTCAAACCCATGAAAAGACAAACTATACATCTCTCTCTCTCTCTGTCTTTCTCTGGCAAAACTTGTGTGAAAAAATAAAAAATAATTACTAAAAAAAAAAAAAAAAAAAAAAGGAGGGGAGGAGGGCCAGCAGTAGGTGGTGTGGTGGTTATGGTGCTGGAATTCCCACATGGCTGACCATGGTTCCAATTCCAGACCTGGCAGCTTGCCCTCTCTCTCTCTTTCTCTGGCAAAACTCACGTTAAAAAAATTAAAAAAAAAAATATATATATAATACACACACACACACACATATATAAAATAATTCTTAAAAAAAAAAAAGACAAACTGTACAAAACTAAAATTCTTAATGAAAGCACATGACTCATTTAACTGACTCCTTTTAATCAACCTGCTGGATTAACAGAAGTTTTCCAGTCATAAAATCTAGCATAGAGGGACCAGCAGTTAGCAGAATGACTATGTTGCCGGACTCCCATGTAGTTGATTGCGGTTTGTGTCCCGGACCCGGTGGCTTTAAACTCACGCCAGGCCCGTGTGTGTGCGTGCCCAAGATCCCGAGAGGAGAACGGAGAAGGGATTGCGGCGTGGCCACCCCCCCTGGGGGTGATTTCTCGCTTTCTGTCTCTCTGTCTGTCTCTGTCTGGCGAGCACACACGCCCTATAGTGAAAACCTCTAAAAAAAAAAAAAAAAAAAAAATCTAGCATAGAAACGCTGCCCATCAGTAGGCCACTTCAGAGTACACATCCTTGTCTTTGCTTCTACCTGCTGATACATATGTTTACCAACAGCCAGCTGTATAGGTGCCTACAACAATTCTTCCCAGTTGTCATACTTAAGCATCGTAATTCAGTATTACAAAAACAGAGAAGTTCTTTCCCTGACAAGCTGAACACTCTAAAAAGACTAGAATTCTATACTTAAGATCGTGTGTATATAACAATTGAAAAGTTGTCCCTTACATGTAGATGTGTTTCACATAAGGCACAGACAATAAGGAACTTTAATCACACTCAGTTATTCTAAATGAATGTAACTCACTGATACCCCATTTTAACCTCCTTTGATTGATCAACTACCGTACAGCTTTTACTGTAACCATTACCATTATTTTCAAAGCATTTAAGTGGCATTGAAAACTTCTCCCATTACAATTTTTAAAATTTATTTACCATTGTTTTATTTTTAGAATCTGCTACAAGACATGGGCATTTACAAGAGAGGGGGAAAGTTGTAAGCCACCAGGTCTGGGACTTAAATCGCATGGACCACGTGGGAGTCCAAGCCTCAACCATCATGGCACCTGCTGGCCCCTCCTGTTACAATTTAACATGGAATGAGTGATATAAGTTCCTTAGGAAATGGTCTGTCATCTTTAAAAATGACCAGTTACAAACAGGATGAGCAAAAGAGTTGCAGTATAACTTACCTACAGTAGCTCGAATCAGAGGAGAGGAGTCACCAATATTGTTTAAACATTCACTTTTAATAAAGTCTGTTACACCATTTGGAAAGTTTTGAAAATGTGCTTTCACATTATTCTTCAAGATAAGACCACTCAATGATCTTGTGGGTTCATCTGCAATGAAACAACAGAGTAAGTTTTAAAGTAGTTTTTACTCAAAAGTGCCAAAAGCAGTAACTTGAAGACTTAAGGAAAAAAAGAATCATAAACAGTTACCAAAAGATGAACTCTATGACTTCAAGTGCAGGATTTCACAAATGTAGTATACTGACACTACGAGGATAAATCTTAGCTTGCAGGGCTGGCGTGCTCTCCTGTGTACCGTACAATGTCTAGCAGCGTCTCTGGCCCCTGATATCAGTGGCTTCTCTCAGGTTCTGACAACCAAAAATGTTGCCAGGTAATGCCACTTGTCTCCCCCCCCTAGTTGAGAACCACTGGTTTAGTTTTTATATGGCCACTGTATCAAGCTTTATTGCTACCTGATATAAACATCGTTATAATCTGAAAAGTATTATTCATTAAATAGAGTCCATTAAAACACTAAGTGAGTAAAGAATATATTGAGGGGGAAAGACCTATAGCCTAGTGGTTAAAGAAGCTGGATCCCACATGGTGAACCATGGTTTGAATCCTGATCCTGGCAGCCTGAAAAACATGCCAGGCATATGTGTGTGTGCATGCATGAACCCAAAATTCCAAGAGGATGGAGAAATGCAGAGGGACTGCACCCATTAGGGGTGGTGTTCTCCTTCGTTCCCTCTCTGTCAAACACATATACCCTCCAACAACAAATAAGTTTTTAAATATATGGGATTTACCTTTATGTAACAAATACAATCTTATTAGTAGTACCATTTTTTCTTTACTTGCTCAAGTTTAAAAAAAATAGAGCAATGAATCTCCAAAATAGTTAAAAAGACTTAGTAAACTTTCAAAATGCAATTTAACACTAGCAGAAAATAAGTGATGACTTACGAACTGGCACACGTTTAAACTCTCTCAATAGCTTAAAACTGCCATGAAATACATGAATAGTTTGATACTTAACTTTTGAAGGCAATAAGTTTGTCTTATTATTAACTCTTAATAATTGAGTCAGGTCATTTTTACATGGCATGCATACTGGTTTACAAGAAATAGCATTTTATGTTTTCACAGTGAAAGTTGTCTGATGAGGAGTATTAATAAACCATAACATGGGGTTAAACAATTTAAAGTATATATATATCCTCTGGCCAAAATCTATTTTAAAAAGTCACTGGGCCTCAATCTGCCCATCTACAAAGTGAGGGAATTAGAACAGCTAACCTCTGAGGTCTATTCCAGATATAAAATTTTATTCCATTAATTCAGTGATAAGATCACCAAATAAGTATTTTCAATGAAAAATGTTATTTATGTTCCTTCTTTAATATGAATAGCCACAATGTGATGCTAACACAGTCATACTATGCCCTTTGAAAAACTGCCTAAAATATAGAAGAAATACATTTTAGGGTAAAAAAAACACAAAAGACAACAAACAAAAAATACTTGAATAACATCCTTCCAAATAATGAATGGTTTTATAGTTAGGGAGTCTTTGTGGAGGCAGTTGCTCCCAAACATTCTTGATGCTATTTGAATTTAAATTTTTCTTTTTTTTAAAAGTACTTCTGAGATATTATATCCCAAGAAAGCTTTACTAAAGAGTAAATACTTAATATTTGTGATTTAAGGTGAGAAAATGACAGAGACCATCATGGAGAAAGAATTGCAGCATAGTGATCATCCCTGGCAGGGGAACAGGTGATTTCTCACTTTCCCTCTCTGGCTCTCTCTCTCTCTCCTGAGAGTACATGCACCCTACGGCAAAAAAACAAAAACCAAAAAACAAAAAAATAAAACACACTTAAACATAAATAAATGTACTAAATATCTTAGTGCGTTTTTTTTAAAAGCATAGATTATTTACACACTACTGTGAGAAAGATTACTACATTAAGAAACATGGTATCATATTAATATTTATCAATGAATATTAATTGCCAAATTTAAAACTCTGCTTAAAGAATACTTGACTTCTTAAAATCTAGATTTGGAGTTTTAAATTTTCCCTATGTCCCTCAATCGCAAATTAAAACTACCCAAATAACTGGAAAATTGTTTGAAAACAAACAAATCACTGTATAGTGTATGAAAGATCAAAACCTGAACACAAGATCAGTCAGTCTTTACTACAAATTAAGATCATCAATCTGCTACAGTACGAAGCTGAAACCTTTAGAGATGGTCTGGTTACCTGACATAGCCTTTTAATAGTTGAAAGAAGCAAGAGAAGTTAAATGACTTAGTGTCAGTTAGTTCCCAACTCCCCAGCTCCAAATACAGTGTTTTGTTTTTTTTTTAAAAAAAAAACTGACCATGGGGTTTCTAAATACTAATCACTAAACACAGTATAAGGCTTTCATGTAGAGGCCAGAGAGCTGTTCAATAAACATCAGTGTCTTCTATATCAGACGATGCTTCAGGAAGGAAATACTCAAATAATGCCATGAAGAGGACCTTCACTACAATGTCCTCCTTGGGGACAAAATTTGTATTTTTGTTGTGTTTATTTTCCCTGAGCCTACAAACTGCCTGGCATAGGTCATGCTCAATAAATATTTGTGAAATAAAGTGTGACGCATTGCATATTTTAGAAACAATTAAAAATGACTATGTTATCTAATCACACTGACCATTCTGGCTTTAAATTTCACAGAGGTAACTTGAAAGTTTCATGTATACCGTCAAGTCATGCATACTATTACGTTTATTCATAAACAGAATAATCCTATCTTTTTGATAAATAACTTAAAAACAGTTTACAGTCATATAAAAGTGTGTAAAAAGAGGGACCAGCTGTTGGCATGGTGGTCGAGGTGCTGGACAATCCCATGTGGGCGATCGCGGTTTGAGTCCTGGATGTGGTGGCTTAGTTTCTGTGTGTATGTGTGTGTGTGTTTATGTGTGTCTCTGGTCAAATTAAATGATGAATAAATAAAATTACATACAATATTATTAAAAAAGTGTAAAAATATATAATGTAAGAGATCAACAATAATCATCTGTGGGTGATGGGATAAGTGATTTTTCATTTTGGTTTTATGACCTTTCCATTTTTTCTACAATGAACACACACAATAATTATTAAATCCTACATTCAATCTGTGAATTAAAAATCAGAGATTGATGTTAATGTGCAAACACTGAATCAAGACACCAAAATAGACTATGTAATGTTTTTCATTTGCAAATAATGAGAGAACTTATAAACATACAATTAACAACTGAATGCTTATTAAGCACCTAAATGTCTTGAGTGGTAGTGGCTTCAAGATCATTCATATAATATCTGTAAAGCATCTCATTACCATAAAATGAAATCTTCTGAAATTAATAATTCCCAGTATATTTTAATAGGTCTTAAAGATACTTTCAAAAAGTTATCAAAACACAATCCTACTTACCTTCAGATTTTAATTTTGTGAGAACAAAAATCAGGTAGTTGTTAAAATCTGGGTATTGATTGAGTTGTTCCAGTTTCTAGAACAAACAGTAGTTAAGGAAACTTGTCTATGTCATATAAGGAAGAAATCAGGCACTTTTTATCTAAGAATCGCTTCATTATTTTTTGTTTTGCATTTTTTAAGCTAAGAATATCTTATTAAATCTAACTATAAATATGCTATTCCAAAAACACACTAGCACTTGCTAGACTCTTAGATGCTTTATGGCTAAAATACAGTTTGTTATATTCCAGACAACATAAGCAAGTTCCTCCTTCAACATGCTCAATATGGAAATAATTTTTTCAAAACAGAATTCTTAGGTGTATTTGAACTTTAAAACATTCTAACCAGAAAGCTATTTAAATGTAAAATAAAAAGCATTCAAAAGAAATGAGACTATGCCATTTAGAATTGAAGATGATTTAGGAAAATTAACTTTATAAAATGTCTTAACTTAAAAAAGACATACTTTTACTAGACTCATTTATTCTTTAGAATTGGGGGGGAATGCCAAACACAATCTTATTACACAAAATCAGCACTGTGAGGTAACTGCACTACAACAGTTCCACCACTGTCTTTCACTCCAAGACCTAACCTTTCCAGTGACACAAATTTGCAGGTGTTTCATTACTGCTGGCAGGCAACACTGGCTTAATGCTCCATTCTATTTTTCTTTTAGCCCTAACTCTCAACCCCTAATATGCTTGACAAGTGTTTTACTACACATATTAAAATGTTTTAACTCAAAAGATTAAAATTCTGATTAAATACATAACAAACTCTAGATAAACTATATTAGCTAGTTATTCCATCTCTTAATATCCTCATGTAGCGGTCAGAATGTAAATGAAAAAATGTATTTTTTTAGTAAAATTCCAAGGTGCAACCACTTTCTTCAAACAAAAGACTATGATTTCTTGCCTTAGTGAATGACCAAGATTAAAGGTCTGCTGATATGTTAATAAATTTTTCATAAATATTTCCTGGCAAGGCTTACCTTCTCACAACTTCAACTCTATGCTATTGTAGCAGGCTTTCAAAAAAGTGTCTAATTGCACTTTTCCCTTAGGCAACACAAAAAAGGAAGGTCATCTAGGCAAAATGAAAATATAAAGCAGTGATAATATTTTTAGTTAAAATACTGCTTTCCTCCATCAGTAACATAATTCGTCCTTAATCAGGGACACACCATGCTCCAGGCACACACAATACTCTGTAAATGGACTATTAGCCCAAGCACAGTACTGGACACATAAGGCACATAGACATGCTATAGAAGAAATTACAATGCAGTTCTGAGCTTGGCTAATTTAAGGAACCAATAACTGAGTCATACAACACCTACAATTAAATATAAACTATCTTTCTTCGAGTTGACAACAGAAATGAAGGCTGAAGCATAGCAGGGCTTCATATGCTCCCAATACCTCTCAAAACTCCTGTCCATTTTTCAGTAGTGGTAGTAGTATCCAAACAGCTTTAAAAAATCCAAAATCTAAATCACCATCCCCCCTCTATTTTCAAACAGGTAGTACTAGATGAACCACTAAGCTCAGCACCTATTTAAAATCATCTATTGATGATTTTAGGCTACTGCAAAGTAGTGCTTCTTTGAAACACGCCAATGAATAACTTACTTTCATTCATAATGTTTTAGACTTAAATAAGCTCAAACATCACAAGAGCTTACTTCCCAAATTCTCCATTAAGTAATTTTGCTGCTCGTTGACGACAAAAATCAAGAGCCTTTTACAAAGCAGAAGACAAGTTTGTCAAAAAAATTAACTTCTTTAGGCTTAAAAAGGTTATTTACGACCTGGCGGGTGAATCTGTTTTCGTTACTGGATTCAGTCTGTACTCTCCATCTGTCCAGCTCAGGGCATCACAGAAAGAACACATAGAAGAGGTTTTTGGGGCTTCTCTTAGCTTTTTCTTTCTGGAATGCCGTAGTAACAGGACCGCTACACTATCACACTAGGCAAAGACTTAGATAATTGTGCAGACAGCCTTGAGCCAAAGCTTTAAAAAGAAAATCTCACTTGGGAGCCAGGGAGCTTGCAACAGGTGTTAACACGAACAGCCCCCGGGCGAGGCCGGCCCAGAGACCCCTTTTTCCCAACTGCAGGTCTCTAGCCCTTTCGGAGCAAGGGCTTGGAAAAACCCCAAACCCAATGCCGCAGCAGTTCAAACCCGGCGCCAGCTCCACTCGCGCCTCCCCAGCACGCGGGCGCCCTCCGCCAGGCCTCCCGCTCCCACCCCCTGGCGCATTGTGTCGGCCCGGGCCGCTCCC